ACTGAGGACGAATCCGCTCATTAGCGGATTCCTGGGAAGGCGGCTCTAAATTGGCTGATGCAACTGCGAGAAAAGATGGGATCGGGTGCGTCACGTGATCGAGTTAGACGCCGACTCCCGGAGGTCGACATTTTGGTTTCCATAGGCAAATTCCTAATACCACAATTGACATAGTTAATAAGGGGAGACGGTAACGTGTCTCGGTAGAGGTCACAGGTCTTGGTATAGTTCTGTTTATTTTAGTTGCTGAGTGATATGCAGCCCTCAAAGATTCTGACATTGTGCCCATGGTTACACTTGTCCTGGGGAGACCTTGAATTTGGTGTGGAAGAAATAACATCAGTAGTTGAGGTACAATTGGATCGGCATCTGGGCCTCGATTTACCTTTGAAAAAAAAAAGTTAATATTTATAGGCCTGGGGGAGGAGGGTATATACACACACACACACACACACACACACACACACACACACACGTATATGCCAGGCGCGGTGGCTCACGCCTATAATTGCAACACTTTGGGAGACCAAAGTAGGAAGATCACCTGAACCCAGGAGTTGGAGACCAGCCTGGTCAACGTAACTAGATTCTGTCTCTACAAAAAAAAATTTTAAAAGGCCGGGCGCGATGGCCCACACCTGTAATCCCAGCACTTTGGGAGGCTGAGGCCGGCGGATGACGAGGTCAGGAGATCCAGAGCATCCTGGCCAACATGGTGAAACCCCGTCTCTACTAAAAATACAAAATTAGCCGAGCGCGCGCCTGTAGTCCCAGCCACTCGGGAGGCTGAGGCAGGGGAATCGCTTGAACTCATGAGGCGGAGTTTGCAGTGAGCCTAGATGGCGTCACTGCACTCCAGCCTGGCGACAGAGCAAGACTCCATCTCAAAAAAAAAAAAAAAAAAAAAAAAAAAACATAGGCAGCAGGGCTGGTGGCGCCTGCTAGCGCTGCCTGAGGGGGAGAAGTAGGAGGATCACTTGCGCCTGGAGTTGAAGCTGCAGTGAGCGCTGATCGTGACACTGCATTCCTTGGGCGACAGAGTGAGACCCTGTCTCAAAAATATATATGTATTTATATGTGAGGCGTTGTATCAAACATTTCACATGTTTATTTCATTTGATTTTTAAAACATGTATGAGGTCAGCTGGAGTCCCCTTTTTACAAATGAGGAAATTACCTTGCACAAGTTCACACCCAATAGTATGTTGCAAAGACAGGATCCAAACCTGTGTCTATTTAACACCAAAGCCCATGCTCTTAACCACTGCACTATTACCTACATCATCTGATATATCCAAATACACGGGTAATAAATTGTGCTGCTGATCATAACTCAGTTACAGACATCACAGAAGAATACTACTTTTTATGTAAAAGAGCATCCTACACAAAAAGGTCAAGCCCAAAAGCCAGTAAAAAACATAAATCATTTGATTTACCTTCCCCGTTCATAGCAGCTCACGAATAGTAATCATCAAACCTAACATTTGTTGAGCACTTAGTATACAGCAGGCACCAATCTAAGCTTTTAATCCTCATAACCCTATAATGAGTAACTATTACTATCTGCTTTTAATAGAGTAAAATAAAGCAGAGAGAGAGGTTAAGTAACACAGAGAAGGGCAAAACCAGGAGACACAGTGTTTATTCTGATCCACAGTGCCCTAAATAGCATATATTTAGCCTAAACAATCTGGGAAATGAATCAGACTTCTGTGCCACCACACTTAGAAAGCTAAAAGGTATGTATGAATCGTACTTTCAAAATAAAATAATGCAAGTCGTAACGTCAATAATTTAGTTCTGCTGCCAGAGTTGTTACTAGGATAGTACCTTCACTAATAAAATAATTATAAACAGATTAAAATAACTTTTTGGCCGAGAGTGGTGGCTCACGCCTGTAATCCCAGCACTTTTGAGAGGCCGAGGCAGGTGGATCACAAGGTCAGGAGATTGAGACCATTCTGGCTAACACGATGAAACCCCGCCTCTATTAAAAAATGCAAAAAAATTAGCCGGGCGTGGTGGCGGGCACCTGTAGTCCCAGCTACTCAGGAGGCTGAGGCAGGAGAATGGCATGAACCCAGGAGGCAGAGCTAGCAGTGAGCTGAGATCAGGTCACTGCACTCCAGCCTGGGCCACAGAGTAATACTCTGTCTCAGAAAATAAATAAATAAATAAATAAATAACTTTTTTTTCATCCATTAAGAGAGATTGTAGGCCAGCACAGAGGCTCACGCCTGTAATCCCAACACTTTGGGAGGCCAAGGCAGGAGGATAAATGGAGTCTAAGAGTTTAAAATCAGCCTAGGCAACAGAGTGAGACTCTGTAAAAAAAAAAAAAAAAAAAATTCTTTTTAATTAGCTAGGTGTAGTAGCATTCACCTGTAGTCCCAGCTACTGAAGAGGCTGAGGCACGAGGATCATTTGGAGCCCAGAAACTGAAGGCTGCAGTGAGCTAAGATCTCATGACTGCACTCCAGCCTAGGCAACAAAGCAAGACCCTTTCTCTCTCTCTCTCTCTCTGTCTCAATAAATAAATAAATAAATAAAATTTAAAAAATTATAAAAACAACAGCAAACAGAAACAGGCCAGCATGATGGCAGAGTTTCATTCTCGTTGCCCAGGCTGGAGTGCAATGGCATGATCTCGGCTCATAGCAACATCTGCCTCCTGCCTCAGCCTCCCGAGTAGCTGAGATTACAGGCGCCCACCAGCTACCAAAAATAGCTGGTAAAAAAATACCCAGCTATTTTTTTTTTTTTCTATTTCTGGTAGAGACGGGGGTTTTCACCATGTTGGCCAGGCTGGTCTTGAACTCCCGACCTCAGGTGATTCGCCTGCCTCGGCCTTGCAAAGTGTTGGGATTACAGGCGTGGGCCATCGTGCCCTGCCGCCTTGTCTCTTTTTTTTTTTTTTTTTTTTTTTTAGAGATGGAGTCTCACTCTGTCACCCAGGCTGGAGTGCAGTGGTGGCATGATCTCAGCTCCCTGCAAGTTCCACCTCCCGGGTTCACGCCATTCTCCTGCCTCAGCCTCCCGAGTAGCTGGGACTACAGGCACCCGCCACCTCGCCCGGCTGGTGTTTTTGTATTTTTTAGTAGAGACGGGGTTTCATCGTGTTAGCCAGGATGGTCTCGATCTCCTGACCTCGTGCTCCGCCCATCTCGGCCTCCCAAAGTGCTGGGATTACAGGCTTGAGCCACCGCGCCTGGCCAACGCCTTGTCTCTTAAAACAAACAAAAAAAAAAGATAAATTGTAATTAAGGCCCAATAGTCTCATTCCTGTATAACTAATGGTATTTTTCTGTGATATTTTTCTCTTGTAGATAATGTCAACTACATGCTAGAAAGAAAGCTATCTTAATGCAATGTGCAAATTATATATTTTAGGAAACTACTGGCAAGTTCTTGATTTATTCTAGGTTAAGCAAATAGGCCTGTAGGTGGGAGTGAGTGCTATGCACATGGCTTGCTCTCCAGTAGAACATTTGTTGAACTTCATCTTGGGGCATGAGAAAGATAACCAAAGGCCTCAAGATAGTACAACAGCTGTGATTGCGCCTCTACACTCCAGCCTGGGCGGCAGAGTGAAACCCCGTCTTAAAAACAACAGGCTGGGCGCGGTGGTTCATGCCTGTAATCCCAACACTTTGGGAGGCCGAGGTGGGCAGATTACCTGAAGTTGGGAGTTCAAGATCAGCCTGGCCAACCTGGTGAAACCCTATCTCTACTAAAAATACAAAAATTAGCTGGGTGTGGTGGCGGGCACTTGTAATCCCAGCTACTCGGAAGGCTGAGGCAGGAGAATCGCTTGAACCCGGGAGGCAGAGGTTACAGTGAGTTGAGATTGTGCCACTGCACTCCAGCCTGGGTGACAAGAGCGAAACTCTGTCTCAATAAATAAATAAATAAATAAAATTTTAAAAATTATAAAAACAACAGCAAACAGAAACAGGCCAGCATCACCACACTTTGGAATTCTGAGGTGGGTGGATGGCTTGAGCTCAGGAGTTTGAGACTAGCCTGAGCAACATGGCAGAACTCAATCTCTACAAAAAAATACAAAAATTAACTGGGCGTGGTGGCGTGCATCTGTAGTCCCAGCTATTCAGGAGGCTGAGGTGGGAGGATCGCTTGAGCCAGGGAAGCAGAAGATGCAGTAAGCCATGATTGTGTCACTGCACTCCAGCCTGGGTGACAAAATGAGACGGTGTCTCAATTTTAAAAAAGAAAGAAATGGAAACAAGTGGGGAAAAAAAAAAAAAAAAACTAACATAGCTTTGGAAGGATGTAGCTCTAGACTCTTAACTCTCCCAAGGCATCTTAGCTACTTTTAGCATCCATAAAATGGGTTTACAATGCTCACTTACTCGGTACTAAGTCAAATGGGGATGGCTGAATTTTTAAGAGCCTCTAAAGGAATATTTCAATTGAGCATATTATCATTCTTTTGGCCTCATGTATTTTTCAGACCATAGAACGCTAAAGGAATCATCTAGGATCTTAAAATGCTGCTAAATTGAATAGGCCTGGGATAGGGCCTGAGAGCCTGCATTTTTAACAGGCTTCAGGTGATATTTATGCTGCTGAGAGATTATACTTGGAATACCAAGGGTCTAGTTTAGAGGATGTGCGTCTGCACCTATTTGTTCAGATGTAAAATTTTGAAAAGTTTGACCTACGGGGGAGATACTAATGGCTTATCATTCACCAAATGAGTGACCACTATGTGTTAGTCACTGAGGATCAAGATTAAAGACGGCAGACACTGCCCTGCCCTCATGCAGTTCCCAGTCTCACCAGGAAGCCAGGCATTTAGCAGGAAACAAAGCCCTCTGCAGGAGGCTTGCGCTGGTCTTTGGCCCCCCGAGTTCCTGGGCGCATCCGCTAGCGCTGTACCATCCCCTCAGCTGATTGGCTGACAGGATTTCCAGGTCTCAGCCAATGAGGCTCCGGCTTGGCCAGCGCCGAGAGCGGCGGTTGTTGGAGTGCAACTGCCATGATCAGCTGCGATGGCCGGGGCTGCTGGCCGGGTCCGAGGTCGCGCCCTGCGGCGGTTTCCCATCACCCTGCCTGTGGGCGACGTGAGTATCTGCGAGGGTAGAAGCCAGACCCTTTCACCCACATTTAGATGCCTTCCTCGTCCCTACTCCTGGGGAGAGGAGTAACAGTATTTCTCGAGGCTTCGTCCCAAGGTCTTAGCCTTGTGATCTAGAATCCTCCAGCTGTGAGGTGGCTACTTCCTATGATTTCAGGGTAAACTGAGACTGGCTAGGCTCACGTGGGAGTAAATGCAGGAGACTTAATTCCAATCCAGATGCTCTTATTCCCCGAATCCTTTTCTCTCCACGCCCACTTTGGAAACCAGGTACCTTCTTAGCTGGAGTCTCACAATGCGCAGGTGTGTTGGGGGTGAACTTAGGAGAGTCTGGAACCCCGATGCTATTTTTAAGTTTTTTGTTTTGTTTTGAGACAGGCTGGAGTGCAGTGGCACAATCACGACTCACTGCAGCCTTGAACTCCTGGGCTCAAGCGATCCTCCCACCTCAGTCTCAGGAGTAGCTGGGACTACAGGCTCGCGCCACCACACCCAGCTACTTAATTTTATTTATTTATTTATTTATTTATTTATTTATTTATTTTGGTAGAGACAGGGTCTCCCTATGTTGCCTAGGCTTGCATATTTATTTAGTAGAGGAAAAAACACATGAAAAATCGTGTACGGGAAGGATAAACGCCAAATTTAGGATAGCTGCTGTCTTCCTGGGATGCGGATACGGAGATTATCAGCTGGACCTTAGTAATTTTATTTCTTAAGTTTTGAGGTGGGAATCTAAGTATTTGTTAAATTATACTCTTTCTTGTTTGTCTGAAATACATTGTTAAAAGGGAAACATGGAGCCAAGCACAGCTGCACACACCTGTAGTCCCAGCTACTTGGGAAGCAGAGGCAGGAGGATGTCTTGAGGTCAGGAGTTCAAGGATATAGTGTATGCTGTAATTGTGCCTGTGAATAGCCACTGCACTCCAGCCTGGGCAACATAGCAAGATCCTGTCTCTAATTTAAAAAAAAGAAAGAAAGAAACATGCATATGGAAAATAATATCAGAGGATAAAGCATACTCAATCCACCTCCACCCTTCTAGAGACCCTCACCAGGAGCAGCCACTGTTATCAGTTTTGTGTGTATCTTAACCTTTTTTTTTCTTTTTCTTTTTCTTTTCTTTTTTTTTTTTTTTTGAGACGGAGTCCCGCTCTGTCGCCCAGGCTGGAGTGCAGTGGCCGGATCTCAGCTCACTGCAAGCTCCACCTCCCAGGTCTACGCCATTCTCCTGCCTCAGCCTCCCGAGTAGCTGGGACTACAGGCGGCTGCCACCTCGCCCGGCTAGTTTTTTGTATTTTTTTTAGTAGAGACGGGGTTTTACTGTGTTAGCCAGGCTGGTCTCGATCTCCTGACCTCGTGATCTGCCCGTCTCGACCTCCCAAAGTGCTGGGATTACAGGCTTGAGCCACCCCGCCCGGCCTCTTTTTTTTTTTTTTTTGAGACAGAGTCTCGCTCTGTTGCCCAGGTTGGAGTGCAGTGGCGTGATCTCAGCTCACTGCAAACTCTGCCTCCCGGGTTCAAGCAGTTCTCTGCCTCAGACTCCTGAGTAGCTGGGATTACAGGCACCCACCACCATGCTCAGCTGATTTTAATATTTTTAGTAGCGATGGGGTTTCACCATCTTGACCAGGCTGGCCTTGAACTCCTGACCTCGTGATCCACCGCCTTGGCCTCCCAAAGTGCTGGGATTACAGGCGTGAGCCACCGCACCTGGCCACTTTTTTTTTTTTTTTTTTTTTTTTAAGAGGAGATGGTATCACTATGTTGCCCAGGCTGGCTTCGAACTTCTGAGCTCAGGCGATCCTCCAACCTCAGCTTCAGGGGTAGCTGGGACTGCAGACACAGGCCACTGCTCCTGTCTTCTTAGGCATTTTCTATAGTGTATACAAGCATATATGGGAGCTTGGGGACTTTTGGGGTGGGGGTTCCTGTTTGTTTTGCACAAGTGAACCTGCTATATATGGTCCTGCACCTTGGGCAATGTAATTTTTAACCTCATTAAACTGTTTTGCAAACTTCATTAACCTCTAGCCCTGTGAAACAATATAATTTATCTGGGAAAATATCCCCAGGGTTGCTTCTGAATTGATGAGATGTAGGTCATGGCTACCTAGGCGGTGTTTGCCTTTTTCTTTTTAGCACACCCTCATGTGTAAGGTCAAAAACAAAAAACAAAACGTCTTCTCCAGTTAACCCTGTGAGCGTGCAGGAAAAAAGAATCATAACAAGCGGAGTGTTCCCTGGAAATGCTTTACCCTTTCTCAAAACGTTTTTACTACTACAGTACAGGTTAAATTCCACAGAGAACCCACCATGACTTGATTTTTGTTTTTGTTGTTGTTGTTATTTGTTTATTTATTTGAGATGGAGTCTTGCTCTGTCGCCCAGGCTGGAGTGCAGTGGCATGATCTTGGCTCACTGCAACCTCCGCCTCCTGGGTTCAAGCGATTCTCCTGCCTCAACCTCCTGAGTAGCTAGGACTACAGATGCCCACCACCATGCCCGGCTAATTTTTTTTTTTTTTTTTTTTTGTATTTTTAGTAGAGACGGGGTTTCACCACATTAGCCAGGATGTTCTCGATCTCCTGACCTCGTGATCCGCCCACTTCAGCCTCCCAAAGTGCTGGGATTACCGGCGTGAACCACCACGCCCTGCCTTTTTATTAATTAATTAATTTATTTATTTTTGAAATAGAGTTTCAGTCTGTCGCCAGGCTGGAGTGCAGTGGCACGATCTTGGCTCACTGCAACCTTCACCTCCCGGGTTCAAGCAATTCTCTTGCCTCAGCCTCCCAAGTAGCTGGGACTACAGGTACATGCCACCACACCCAGCTAATTTTTGTATTTTCAGTAGAGACAGGGTTTTACCATGTTGGCCAGGATGGTCTCAATCTCCTGACCTCTCGTGATTCACCAGCCTCAGCCTCCCAAAGTGCTGGGATTACAGACGTGAGCCACCATGCCCAGTCTATTTATTTATTTTTCTGAGACAGAGTTTCACTCTTGTCGCCCAGGCTTCAGTGTGATGGCATGATCTCAGCTCACTGCAACCTTTGCCTCCTGGGTTCAAGCGATTCTCCTGCCTTAGCCTTCTAAGTAGCTGGGCTTACAGGTGTGCACCACCATGCTTGGCTAATTTTTGTATTTTTAGTAGAGATGGGGTTTCACCATGTTGGCCAAGCTGGTCTCAAACTCCTGACCTCAGGTGACCCACCCACATCGGCCTCCCAAAGTGCTAGGATTACAGGCTTGAGCCACTGCACCTGGCCTCTATCTTAAAAAACAAACAAACCAACAAAAAAAACAAGGCTGGGTGCAGTGGCCCACACCTGTAATCCAAGCACTTTGGGAGGCCAAGGCAGGTGGATCGTGAGGTCAGGAGATGGAGACCATACTGGCTAACATGGTGAAACCCTGTCTCTACTAAAAATACAAAAATTAGCTGGGCATGGTGGCGTGGGCTTGTAATCCCAGCTACTTGGGAGGCTGAGGCAAGAGAATTTCTTGAACCCAGGAGGCGGAAGTTGCAATGAGCCGAGATTACGCCACTGCACTCCAGCATGGGTGACAGAGTGAGACTTCATCTCAAAAAACAAACAAAAACCCAAGTGCTGAGATTACAGGCATGAGCCACCACACCTAGCTCTATTTAATTATTTTACTATTTTAATTTTATTTAATATTTTTTTCTAGACAGGGTTTTGCTCTGTCACCCAGGCTGGAGTGCAGTGGCACTGTTATGGCTCACTGCAGCCTACACCTCCTGGGCCCAAGTGATCCTTCCACCTTGGCCTCCAGAACTGCTGGGATTACATGCATGAGCCACCACACCTGTCTGTTTTCTTCCTTTTTAACATTGTCCTGGTTATACAACCCTTACATAGGAGAGCTGCGATTCCTCTTCTTGGATTACAAATTTATGAGTGCAGGTGCCCTTTTGTTACATGCATAAGATTGCATAGTGGTCAAGTGGACTTTTAACCAAATGGGTTTTTTGACAGGGCTGATTGCCAACACCTGGACATTTTAAATTACCAACCTGAAAAGGGAAACAGCTCTCTGCTTGTTTTGCATTTTGGTGACTATTATTAATGGTTTTCTGTTTTGATATATTCAATCTGTTCAATCTGTATTAGTGCCTTCTCTGCCACTGTGTTGGGTGGGAATCTGATTTTGTTCTTTGGTTGGAGAACCAAGTTGACCAGAGCTTAGGCATTTTAAGATAACTACCTCAGCTTGATGGGAAAGCCTGCTCTGCCCGGGGTTGAGGGGTACGGGCCTGAGGGTGACAGAATCGACAGCCCCAAGTGGGCAAAGGGTGGCCAAACAGGAGCGGCCTCCGACGTCACTGTGGCGCGCCGCTTCCGGTCTGCAGCCTTGTAGTGGGGCTGGAGCAGAGCCTGCCGCGAACCCCCGGAGCCCACGGTCAGTGTACCGTGCCATCCCTCGAATCCGAATCTGCCAGCACGAGCCTCCCACCCGCGCCTGGGACCATGGCCACTGACTCATGGGCCCTGGCAGTGGACGAGCAGGAAGCGGCAGCCGAGTCCGTGAGTTGGCTTAAGCCCTAAAAGGGTTAGGGGACTAGTTCTGGCCGGAGACTTGGTCCCTGGGAAAGGGTGGTTCCTAGGTTGATTAGGGACTGGATGGGGTGGCGGGGAGGATAGGGATGGAGCCTGGACCCTGAGCTGGCTTTGTTTACGCAGCCGCCCCCGCGTTACGTAAGTGCAGGTGAGTGCTCCTGTCGGTAAAGCGCTCAGCCGCCTGTCTGTCTTCCTGGAACCAGGAATGATCGTAGATTGCACTCATCACCCTAGATTGTGTTTTGTTTGTTTTTAATTGAAATAGAGACATGGTCTTGCTAGGTTGCCTAGGCTGGTCTGGAACTCCTGGCCTCCAGCAGTCTTCCTGCCTCCACCTTTCAAAGCACCAGGATTACAGGCTGAGCCACGGCTCCTGGCCGCCCCGGTTTGTAATAGC